AGGATTCAAAACTTCAGGTGAGAGAAAAGAAGCAATGCTTTGTGACACTTTGTTCGAAAAACTTGTTTCATGATGTACTACAGGCATTTCAGGCTCCATGCCATCAATATGTGCTACAGTCATTTCATTTTCCACAAGAATTGTGTTTACTACATTTGGAGCAGCACGATCTGTAACTATATATCTTTAAATATTTCTGGATTAAATGGCTCAATGCCAGCTACTTGAAATCCTCTCTGTATATTAGATGGTGAGAAAACTTTTGTATATGGTTTGCGAACTATTGAAACAATATCATAAATGGTCATAGGTCTTGGATTTGTGACCATCCAATTATCACACGCAGCATTGTAAAACCTTTTCAATGGTCTAAAAACAGTTCTATCCAATGGTTGCAATTTATGGGTACAAAAGGGGCGTAAAACTTAGCATTGTAATTCCATGTTGAATTGCAAGATCCAAAGCTCTAACAGAAATATGACTTTTATGGGTGTCTGGAAGTAAAAAAACTGGAGGTTCATGAGAACAGTTTGAATACCTCACAAAATGTTTTATCCATTCTATAAAAATTTCTGAATTTATCCAGCCAGAAGGATTTGCAAATCCCACGCATCCAAAAGGACCTTCCTTTATCATGTAATCATAAAATTTGACCCTAGGAAAAACAAATAGTTGAGGAATAGAGTTTCCAATTGCATTTGAAGCACAACATACAGTTACTAATATTCCTCGTTCTGCAAATGTTTTTTTTCCTACTTGTTTACTTCCTTTACCTGCTAACACTTTTACTGGCTTTTGTACTATTGTTAAACCAGTTTCATCAACATTATATATGCAATAAGGATCAAACTTATATCGATTTCTTACTGTTTTTAGATTTTGGAAAAATTCTCTAACAGTGTGTCGGTTAAAGGCAGTTGATCGAGCAAAGCTAGTTGCTTCAGGTGTTTGTAAAGACAACTCTGGTTGTCTTTTCATAAAACCTTGCAACCAATCAATCCCTGCAATTTTATTCTTGATCCATGTTGAAGGGCAAATCTTATTATTTTTTACAGCAAACTTGTATGCCAATAATCGTGTTGACTTATTTGAAAGTCCATAGTTCATTTTTGAAGTAGTAAATAACTTGAAAAACTTTTTCATCTTCTGCAGTAAAAACTTGTTTATTGTTGTAATTAGGCCTAAAAGATTCATTTGGGTTGAGCTTCTTTTTGTTACAATATCTTTTTAAGGTCATTCGATATATGCTAAACTTGCGAGCTACAACATTCACTGGTTTGCCCTCTAAAACTTCATTAACAGCTGATTTCATTGTATCACATGATATAGCAATTCTGTCTGTTTTTTTTTTTCTATACCTAACCATATAAAAATATGAAAATTTAAAAAAAAGTAAAAAAAGTGATTGTTTAAAAAAAAATATTTTATATTATAATATTATGTAAACTAATTGTAAAACTTATGTAAAACTAAAATCTAATGTTATTAATATTAGTTTTTAACACTATTACATTTTTAAAATGAAATTTTAAAAGTTTATATAAAGATTTATTATTCGTCATAAGTTTAAATGTATAAAATTTGAACAAAAAATTTAAGTCTTATAATATAAGTTATATGGGGCATTTTGATCCTCCGATCAATGAGCCCCGCATAGTGAACGATCAATGTGCCCTATTAGGTACAGTTGATATATTGATGCCAACAACTTCTACAAATACAGTAACCAACTCAAAAAAACAAATTTATTATAAACTTAACACATATGAGTTTACAATAAATTGGTTGTAAAGTCATACGGAAATCTATTTAAAAACTTATTTAAATTTGTTTACAACTTTCAAAAATCACTTTTCATGATGAAAAACAGACTTTTCAATTTTCTTAACGCTGAAGTTGATCTTATCAAAATATATTACGATTAAGCAATGAAGGGTAGTATAATGGTTAATTAAATTGCAATCTCTATTAAATTAAGGCAAAAGTAAACGAGTAAAAGCTAAAAGATCATACTGCCCGCGCGATATATATATATATATATATATATATATATATATATATATATATATATATATATATATATATATATATATATGTTTATATATATATATATATATATATACATATATATATATATATATACATATATATATACATATATATATATATACATATATATATAAATATATACATATAAAATTTGTTTGAATCTATTTTATTATTTCTCTGTTCTTTAAGAACATTAGGCATTCTATTTATTGAGTACGCTAACATATTTTATATATATATATATATATATTTATATATATATATATATATATATATATATATATATATATATATATATATATATATATATATATATATATATATATAAACGAAGATATGCCAGAACTTTGGCGAAAAGTTGTAAGCCACTACGACGGCATTTGATTTCGGGCCAGCACTGACCTAAATGCGGTGGGTACAGAGTTTCGGCCAAATGTTGTTTTGCAATAATTGCCATTATTTAAATATTTTTTTCGTTATCTATGATGGTTCTATAAAAGCAAAGCTAAATGTTTTCAAGATGTATTTTGTTATTACAACTAAATGTTATTATACTATGGTTTGTATAAATGT